TGTTCCCCCCTTAGGCCATTCTTGCAAACAGTGATTTGCACCCCAGAGTCTGGGACTGCTTAATGGACTTTGAAACAAAATACAGGACTATGTAGCACTTTAAAGACTAACAAGATGGTTTATTAGATGATGAGCTTTCGTGGGCCAGACCCACTTCCTCAGATCAAAAAGTGGGTCTGGCCCACGAAAGCTCATCATCTAATAAACCATCTTGTTAGTCTTTAAAGTGCTACATAGTTCTGTATTTTGTTTCAGCTACACCAGACTAACACGGCTACATTTCTATCACTAATGGACTTTGTTTCATTTCACCAGCCATTAACTACCCCTTTGTTAAGTGAGAGATTTCTCCCTCCATTTGCAGAGGAATGTGAGCTATGTCATGCGGGTTTCTTCAGGGGAATCCTATCTTATCTTATTTCCTCTCCAGGCGCAAAGCTTGAGCAAAAAGCAAATGTCTTGTTTATTGCACAGCAGCATTTTTTTAGTTTTAAGTATTCTCCTGGATTACCCTTAACATCTGTTTAAGGGGGAAGAACAAAGAGATTATTTCACTCATCAAATTGCACCTGATTGTTGCGTTAGAGGCAGCGTGGCCTAGCGGTCAGTGTGCAAGCAAAGGACTGGGCATCAGTATTCCTGGGTTCTGTTCCTGTTGATCTTCCTCTCTCCGTGCTTGTTTTCCCATCCATAAAATGGAGACAATAATACATATTCACCCTCGGAAAGTGTGCTCAGCCCATCAAATAAAAAGCACACGGAGTGTATTTATTAGAGACAGGGTACACATCCCATTCCATGACCTTCTTCCAGCTGCAGGCTTTTCCTTTTCTCGCCTCCGTGATGGCCCATGAATCCTTTTCACTTCAGACATCTCCTTCCACCAGTTCCATTCCCGTGCTTAGTCTTCTATCCCCTCTGGATTGCGCAGACTTGCAGGGACCTGTGTTCTAAGCATCAGACCTCTCTAAGCTTGGGATTTACCATCATGTCAGACACTGGTAAAGATCCACCACGACAAACCTCCCACCTTAGGTACACTGGAGCACAAGATAAGCTGTGATTTGTAGCAGTGCAGCTCGTTGTGGGGTTCCAAGGTGGGATGGACCACAGCAATGTCACTCCCAGCTTCGTCTACACCTCCGGTTTGCCCGAGTCCAGTTATACTGGATTCAGCTTCAATTTCTCTTCCCATGTAGACATGTCTTAATGACTTGCCCAGGTCACAGAGCTTAAAGCTAGTGCTCTGAATGCTGTACCAGTTTACACACATACACCTCTCTCCTGCTTATATGGAGTTTAATAATGCTCCAGTAGTAATGGCGGTTCATGCGATTTGTAAGACATTTTAGGCTGTGTCTCCTCTCATACAGAAGCTGTTCCTTACCCTTCATCATTTTTGTTGCCCTTCTCTGTACCATTTCAAATTCCAATATATCCTTTTTGAGATGGGATGATCACAACTGCACACAGTATTCCAGGTGCAATTATGCCATGGATTTATAGTGGTATTATATTTTCTGTCTTATCTCTCATTAGCTTTTTCACTGCTGTTGTTCATTGAGCCGCTATTTTCAGATAACTATCTACAGTGATGCCACAGTTTCTTTCTTGAGTGGTAACAGCTAATTTAGATCCCATTATTTTGCATATATAGTTGGATTATGTTTTCCAATGTGCATTACTTTGCATTTATCAACACTGAATTTCACACTCACATCCCTTTTGTTGCCCAGTCACACGGTTTTGTGAGATCCTTTGTAACACTTTGCAGTCTGCTTTGGACTTATCTCTCTTGAGTAATTTTGTATCATCTGAAAATTTGCTGCCTCTTTTCCAGAGCACCCGCCCCGTCCTTGTGGAAGGGGCCGGGGGAGGGGGTCCAAGCTGATGCAGAAGCAGCAAGGGGTGTGGGAAGTGTTTGTAGTCGATAAGATTAACCAATAAGCCCAGGTTTATCAGTTAATCATGTAGTCCACTACAGCTTGACATCTCTAGCTCAGAACCCATTGGTAGTACTTGATGGCCCACTGTGATGTAGTAAATAGCTTTTGTGCAAACAACATTTAAGAACATAAGAACGGCCATACTGGGTCCATCTAGCCCAGTATCCTGTCTGCTGATAGTGGCCAATGCCAGATGCCCCAGAGGAAGGGAACACAACAGGTAATCTGCACGTGATCTGTCTCCCGCCACCCATTTCCAGACAAAATCTAGATTACTAAATATTTCTTACCCACAATACACCTATTACCAGGGCTCAACAAACCGTGGTGAAATCCACTCGCCAGCCCCACACTGCGCATGCGTCAGACCCGCATTGCACATGCGCACACCGCCAGTGAACAGGGCGACCGGCTTAAATCTACTTGCCTCGGGCGAGTAGATAAACAGATTTGTCGAGCCCTGCCTATTACCATACTTTTGACATGCATCTGATGAAGTGGGTCTTTGCCCACGAAAGCTTATGCTCCAATACATCTGTTAGTCTATAAGGTGCCACAGGACTCCTTGTCGCTTTTGCAGATCCAGACTAACACAGCTACCCCTCTGATACATGATACTTACGTAGCTGTGCTGCTACAGCGGCAGTAGTTTAGATATGTCCTCAGTGTGTCAACCCTAGTGTCTTCATCATCTCCCTAATTCCACACTTACACCCCTGTATAATTCCTGAATTTTCTATTGAGAAGAGGGCTTTCCTTTGACTTCCTGCCTTGCAATCGTGGGCGCTGTTAAGCCATTTGCATGCTTCATCCCAGAGGAAGCTGCATGAACCAGAAGGAAAGCAAGGCCTGTATGCAAGCCATTGAATTCCAGCTTGCAAAAAGCTCATTAGGACTGAATCTTGCAATGCAGTTCCGGATCACGCTGGCATCGCCTGCCAGCTGGGGAACTGGTTTTCTGTCTAAATCCTGATTTCTCCCTGTCCCCCACAAGTGGAATATTTTATGATCTGGCTTCCTTCCTTCCTTTCTTCCTTCCTCTTTTTTTTTTTTTCTGTAAGCATCGATGGCTCTGTGATGAGAGCAATTTGAAAATTCCATGTTGGCCTTTTTTTTATATCTATATATATAAAAGGGAACCAAATTATTTCCCCTGCCCTGTTACATAATGGGGAAACCCAGAGGCCTTCGGGAAGCCGCGCAGCCAGCCAGCCTGGATTTTTCCATGGCTTTCTGGCTCCCTCCCTGCTTCTCCCCACCCCCCAAACCAGACCCT